AATATTTAATTTATTGGTTGCCATCAGTGAGTGATCGGTATCATTTCCGTGAGTTTCCTGGCTGCTGCCAGTTATGGATCAGCGCCAGAACTAGTACTGGTTAGCTTCTCTTCTTATTCTGCGTTCATTCAAGTTGCCTCTGCTAAAGATTCTGGAATCTGTAAACCTCAAATGTAGAGTTACTAATTCAACTTTTTACAGTTTTTCTCAAATGCTAAAACACATTTCACAAACGTTTCCTCCATGTTCCCCAACGTCTAAACACAACACCCTTTTCTAAAACTACGTAAACACAACGGAAGTTACGGTGTAACTATGGTTCTGTGAGTTCCTGGATGACTGCCAGTCACGGGGGTCACTCGGAACTTCTCGGGCGAGAAGATCCCGGGAGACCCGAACGTAGCTATCGGCGCGTAACTTATAGACTCGCGACCAGGTGCGCTACGTGTCACGTGCGTGACTTTGTTTACATGAATACTCGACCTGCGCAGAGCGCGAGGAGATACGTCCACTCTGTTTACTGCCACTGGCAGTCAGGAGGGAACGAGACAGAGCCACACCTTCTCACTTCAAAACTCAAACTTTCACACCGAAAGAGCAGAATAAATCTATAGAACATTCTGCAGGTACACTGTAACACAACTCATGCAAAAACAGAATATATGGCACACAACAGTACTCTTGAAAACATGAGCAGGGTGTGAATTTTTTTTATTTACTTTATTCACAACACACACACGCACACACACACACACACACACACACACACCACAATCACTGTGCGGCATCATGTCGCAGAGCTGCATCGGGCCACATCACCTCATCCACATCGCAGGCTATATTGTCTCTTGCTAGGCACCGCGGGAAAAACGCCCTGGAACGGCGAATCCATCCTTGTAAGGCCTCCACTGGGATGTCACCACAGGCCAGCTCCATCGCCCTTAGGAGGTTCTCTCTAGTGTTTGGTTGTCTGTCATAAACCTTCCATCTCCACGATGAGAAGTTCTCCTCTATAGGGTTCAGGAAAGGGGAGTAGGGTGGCAGACAGACGCTTAAAAAGTGGTTGCTGTTGGTGGTGAACCACTCTCTGGTTTGGTTTGTTCTGTGGAAGCGGACATTGTCCCAAATGATCACATAAATGTGATGTGCGGGCCCAGGATGGTGTTGTTGGCGGTCCAGGAGGATGTCTTTTAGCTCCTCTAGGAAGGTGAGGAGATGTGGTCACAGCATTAGCAACAGGTGTCTTCAATTTTGAGTCGTTGTGTGTAATGAATGACGACAGGTGTGTTCATTGTGTTCAGTTAGTGCTGACTGTGGCAAGCATTTGGCATCACATGAGCTTTCATTTGAGAATATGAGCAGAGTTCTTTTGCAACTTGTGTTTTAGCAAGAAAAATGTGTTTGGATTGATGAGAACGGAGGATTGTGTTTTGTGAATTGTGTCTTCATGTGAAATGCGTTTATGATGTTGGAAGGTGATGATTTAGTAAATGTGTTTAGACAACTGGTCATTTGGTTTAGAGGATTGGCTTTTGTGTTTTAGCATTTGAGAAAAACTAACAAAAATGAGCAAATAATCCAGGGGACTGAAAATTTACAATCATAAGATCCAGAAATAGATTAAGCGTTGACACGAAACACACGTGAAACAAAGAGAACGACTGATTTTTTTTAAATTAAAACCATAAAGTTTCATCCCCGCCAACACCATCCTGTTTTTTTCCCCAGGAGGGCTCGGTGGCATCCTCGGAGCGTGCCGCCATCGTAGAGCAGTACCTCCAGGAGTTGGTCCAGAGGGCGTCGGAAACGAACCTGAAGGGTGAAGCGCTGCACAAGCTCTGGCCGTCCATGTTCGCTGAGATGGTCCGGGACTGCGTGCTGGAGATGAGAGACCGAACGGCCTTCCGTCAGGCCAGTCTAACAAAGCTCACCGACACCAAGTGAAGCGGGTCAGCTGTTCTGTCTGAGACCACAAACACCTGAGCACGTGTGGGCGTGGCTTCCCGCAGCTTCTCCTCATTACACATTCATCACCTGGTGATTTAACATTTATTAGTCTGAGGCGGCTCCTCCGGAGATGGACGTAGACTGTTTTTCAGATGTCTGAATCCTTCTGACTGAATGTAGATTTTCTCTGTTTTTTCTGTTTGGAGTTGAATCAAACTTGAAGAAAGTTAAAAGCACTTAGCTGACCAATCCTTCGCACTTTAAAAACCACGTCACCATCCTTCGTCTAAAACCGTCTCCGTCAGCGACATCTCGTTGTCAGCATAATGATCCCACCTCCTTCTGCCTGACGTCATAGACAGGGCACAACAGAGACCAGGTCTCTTGTCTTGGTTTACAGTTAAACTCTGTGTTGTACTTAGAATTAAAAGATTCTGCTTTAACCCTGACTCGGTGTGCGTAGTTATCGTGGTTCCTCTGAAGAGCATCCAGTAAGAGTTGTTTAATTTTTTCTGTTTAATCCTGGAAAAAACTAAACTCCACCTTTAATTTAGGCTAATTTAATCTTTTATAGGAAGAGCGACCATATTTGGTTACTTATGCGTGGCTATGAAGACGACACCAGAAGCACCGAGGTATGTAAAGGGTTAAGGTCTCCATGCTGGAGCAGCAACGAGGTCCAAACGTGATGTCCTCCAGGTAGCAGGAGTGTTGGAATGTCCCTGAAGGTTTGGAAGCTTCACCTGTCCCTCACCCACACACACACACACACACACACACACACACACACACACGCTCAAGCACACACACACACACACACACACGCTCAAGCACACACACACACACACACACACACACACACACACGCTCAAGCACACACACACACACACACACACACACACGCTCAAGCACACACACACACACACACACACACACACACACGCTCAAGCACACACACACACACACACACACACACACACGCTCAAGCACACACACACACACACACACACACACACACACACACACACACACACACACACGCACACGCACACGCACACACACACACACACACACACACACACACACACACACACACACACAGACACACACACACACGCTCAAGCACACACACCCACACTCAAACATACACACAAACACACACAACACACTCTCTCACACACACACACTAATGCACACACACACACACAAACACACACACACAAACACACGCGCACACACTCACGCACACACACACTAATGCACACACAAACACACGCGCACACACTCTCACACACACACACTAATGCACACACACACACTAATGCACACACACAAACACACTCACACACACACACACACACACACACACACACACACACACACACACAGACACACACACACACACGCTCAAGCACACACACCCACACTCACACATACACACAAACACACACACGCACACAAACACACGCGCACACACTCACGCACACACACAGACACACACAAACACACACACACACACGCTCAAACCCACACACAAACACACACAAACACACACTTACACACACACTGACAGGTTCTGTAGTCTTGTAATTTACAACAATGGAGATTAGTGCCTGGCTCAAAGGACTTAAAGCAAACACACAGGTTACAGGGTTAATCAATTTCCCGTTTCTCGTTTTACCTCTAGCTTGTTTCATTTTGAAATGACACAGGTAGGGCAGGTAGGGCAGGTAGGGAAGTTCATCAGAACCAGCAGATTCACCTCTTGGTCTTTTTAACCAGCTTCTCTTACCTGGTCACCGGCAGCTCAAACTCACTGACCTTTACAGAAAAGCAGACTTATGAGTTAATAAAATACGACTAAAAACTGCAAAAGGTGACCCAGATGCTGATACAAACTCACATTTCCTCATCAGACACAAGAACTGGATAACAGAACCCACCCATCAGAACCAGGGAACCAGAACCTTCCATGTCTCACAGCTTCACATATCTACTCAGACTTTAATAAAAAGAAAAATACAGTATTTAGTTCTGTTAATTAAATCAGCATATTTCCTTTATTGTTGAACAGCTAAAATCATAAAGCAAAAATATTTTATTTTTTAATAAATCTGAAGTGGTGTGGTAGGAATCAATGCCTTCTAAGTCCTACTCTGGGGGAAAAGAGTCCAGAAGCGCCTGTATCAGCCAGAAGTGAAATTAGCTTCAGTCCTGATGTTTGGACGTCTCACCTCTGATTGGCTAACAGCAGCGCTGCTACTGACTCTGTTCGCTCTGCAACGTTGATGATCTCCACAAACAACACAAGCCTGGAGGAGTTCTGCTCTGTGGTGGAGTTGCTAATGCTAACAGTTAGCTTCTACTAGACATTCTCAGCTGTTTCCTGGAGGCTAAACCAACAGCAGCCTTCCCCGCCGTGAGTCGAGATGGGTGAGTCCATGACTGCTAAGTGACAGTGTGACGTAGATCTGTCAGGCTTTTCTAACCCAATTAAAGATGGCCGTCACAGCTAACCAAGCCAGAATTTCATGCTCAGTTTTCTACTCATTGAGCTAAAATCTCGCGTTTGTAGCTCAGACTAACATGCAAACTCAGATTTTAGGATTTGACCTAAACGACCATAACTCCATCGTTTCTGAGCATGAGAGGATCCTTGGGGGGGGGGGGGGGGGGGGGGGGGGGGACCACAACCCCAGTGGGAAGGCTGTGGTCCAGGACCGACTCCAGCGCTGAGTCGGCTGACAGACATCATAAAAGGCTTTAAGTTCCTCTAAAGATCTCATGTGAACGTTTTGCTTTGACAGGAAACCGTCTGCTGTCAGAACGCTTCGGCTAGTTTAATCTCCAACTTCTCTGTTAGCGGAGCCGCTCTGCTGAGACACTTTGACAGTTTATGGGACGTCTGGCTGCCAACAAGGCAAGAGAATTCCCAGAGGAGCGACAGAGCTCCAAGACTGGTGACGGCATGCAGACGCAGAACACAAACAACCTCTCGGTCCAGGCTGATCCAGTCAGCGCCCGAACGGCCAGTAGGCTCGTCTCTCTGTTGTTTCTGGTTAAAAATAACCTTCAGCAGAAGGATCTGACCTTTTGGATCAATTTATTATTCAGGGAAATAAAAGTGTAGAACACAAAACAGGTCTAGAAATATTCAATTACCTAATGAATAGAATAGGATAAAATAGAACAGAAGTATCCTTTATTTCAGGTGCATCAAAAGTTCAAAGTGAAGCAGGAGTTCATTTCCTCACAAGGTAAAAGATAAATAAAAAAATTAAGAGGTTAAAGTGAAGAAATAAAAAAACATCAGTTTATTTATGAGACATGAATAAACAAATATATTTTTTTGTGTTCAAACCTTCAAAATAAGATTTTTTCAGAGGGAGAGACGAGTTTTTAAGATATATTAAATCTGCTGTTATTGTAATGAAGTTATGGTTTCATCGTTTATTTGAATATTTGTACTAACCTACTGGAGTTTCTGATCCCCAGCATGGACATCCCCTATGAAAGATGCAAATAATTATAATAACATTAATAATGATAACATTTTAAGTATAATGTAAAATATTTCTTTATTTTAATTGAACCATCAGAAACTTTATTAAAAAGCTATTTTGCACCAGAGATTCTAATACTTTGGTCTCAGAATCCCAAATGCAACCTTTTCAGATTTTTTTTGGCCTGAAAAAACAAGTTTCCTGTTAGCCTTTAGCTTTAAACATACATATTTATTATTTTGTGATGTTTAAACTCAAAATAAACATTTAACAGAACTTGATGACATCCAAACAGAATCAGTTTTACTTCCGGCTCACGCAGGAGGTAAAACAGTTGGACGAGTAATGGTAGATGTCCTGCATTTGTACAGCGCCTTCTCTGGGTTACAGCCCCCCAAGGCGCTTCACAACGCAACCAGTCATTCACACGCTGGTGATGACGAGCTACGATGTAGCCACAGCTGCCCTGGGGCGCACTGACCTCTGTAGGTTAAGTGTCTTGCCCAAGGACACAATAGCAGCATTGTCTGGTTAGAGCCGGGATCGAACCTGCAACCTTTCTCATCACTGGACAACCCGCTCTACCTCCTGAGCTGCTGCTGTATCGGGTCAGCGCTCTGGCCTCCAGCTGAGTCAGAGCTTTCAGACGTTCTCGGACGGGTTAGGCTAACAAATAGACAAATAAAAGAGAATGATCGGCAACTGGCTCTTAACTCAGAAATATTATTAAATCTTAAGATGCATAAACAGCTTCACAAATAGATGTTAATCAACACCTAAAAATTATTATTATTATTATTATTATTATTATTATTATAGGAAACTTAACTGCAGGACTACAAGATGCTAATATAACATAACGCCTTCAAATGTAATGACATTTTTCTAAATTTGTTTAATAATTTTTTATTTGCTTTAATATTTTACTTTTAAGTACATTCATGTTTTTTTTCACTTTTTATTTGTTTTTTACTTTTATGTCTTTTTACATTATTTGTTCATTTAACTTTTAGCCCGTTAAGCCCTTTGTTGCCCTGAATTTCCAGTAAATAAAACACAGTTTAGACATCAGCCCAAACATGAACGACAGAATAAAGAGGTAGATTATAAACCGGCAGTAATCCAGATTAGATTGGTTTGATCTGACTTTGCGTCCTAGGTCTTTTTCCGCCTCCTGTGTGAGACCTTCCATCATTCCCAGAGTGCGCAGCAGGGGGCGCAGCTGAGCGGCATTTCCGCCGTAGGTGCGTCTCGGTCTCCAGCTCTCCAGGCTGTTTGCGCGTAAAATCCCGGAGGAGCTGCGCTCGGAGCTCACAGTGATCCGGAACTCTGATCTGATTCTTCATATGGACCAGAACCGAACCCCCGACCGGAGAGAAAACCCGAACTCCTACTTGGACCCGACCATGAGGATCTTCTCTGTGCTCGGATAGAGACGCGCATCAGACCCGGAGCAGAAACCTGCGGGTACGTCCGAACCGGGCTGCAGAATTATTGGGCTCTAACGAGCAGGACTAATGATTTGTGTAAACTAACGAGGGCAGAACCTCTTTCTTTGTGTCTAAGTTTAATTCTGACAGAGCAGGAGCTGTGGGGGGGAAAGGTGAAAGTCGAGCTGGACCTCAGACCTACAGCCTGCCAGGAGTGGGGAGGGAGGGGTTCACCAGAGGGGCTGCCTCTCCTGTGAGGTCAGAGGTCAGCTCACATGGTCAAGTGTTTGTGTCTGTGGGAGGTCACGTGACAACACTCTAACACATGAATAAAACAGTCTGTTTCTGTTGTGAGGTTGTTTGTGTCAAACCAACATAAAAAACAAAGTTTTTTGTTTTGTTTTCAGTGGTCTGGAACCACGGACCATGCAGAGAGTCTGGATTATCAGGTATTCACTGGATTAATCAGGGATCAAACTCAGGATTATTCTCCAAACTCCCTTAAATCTGCAAATTCAAAATGTTGTCTTTCTTTAGAACCACTGATGTTAAACCGCCAAACAGAAGGGTTCGGAGGTGTAAAACAGTCATTTTAACCCCAGAGTAAATAACTTTTTATTCCAGCACATTTCAATCAGATACGGAGACTCTGCTGGTGGTGTTCGACCTGCCAGCTAACCCCTTAAAGTCTATTTTTAAACAGGAACTATATATTGTGTAATGTTTGTACATTAATGCATTTAATTTAATATAATAAAATCATAAAAAAGTACCATCATTAAAACTGGCGCTCACCTACCTGTAGACCCCCCACCAGGGGGCAGTAGACACACATAGGGCTGGAAATGGCAGGTTTGTGATGAAGGTACTAATCCTGACGCTCCATCTGGAACATTTAAGACCAGAAGTGGTTTGATGTGAGTTTGAGACGGAGCTAAAACCAACTTTGTCCAGCGATGACGTGTGTCTGTTTGCAGAGTATCGGCTGTGATGCTGCTCTGGTCTCAGCTGCTGGACGGGCAGCACACAGCGGATCACCGGAAGGTGAGCTTAATGCTGGATTGGATATCCCTCTCTCAGGATAACAGACCTGCTGTTATCCTCGCTGTTTTACTTTCTTTAAAGGACCACAGTTAGCATGTGGAGCGAGAATGCAGCAGCCACCAGCTGATCTGTAAGAATCACACTGAGACCAAATGTCTGGGACTGGATGAATAAACAGTGTGGGATCAATAGAAATGCTACTGCTACTGCTAGTGTCACATCAGGGTCACCGTGGTAACCACCAGTGAGTGTCCCCTCCTCTGGCTGCTGGGCGAAAAGCAGCAGAAATAGGGAATTTTGATACCAGTAGCACATTTCAAATACAGCATGAGAGCTGTCCAAAGTGCCGCAGAGGCAAATACAACAAACAAACAAAAAAATAAATAAAACATAGACAAAAAACACTAGAAGCCTAGATAAATAGAAAAAAAAAAGGTTTCTACTGGGTCTGATCGACATATAAATATTCGACAGTGGGTTTCCATAGACTCCAATAACACATTTTTGAAGAGAAATGGGAGGTGGCCACCACCGCCATTTTGACCATGTCACAGGTTCCGTCAAGCCCAGACAATTCCACAAAAGGGAAGAGAGGTGGAGCTGAGGGTGGGGCTGTAAGGCTGGGATCAACTGACGACACCCGTTCGAACTAGCTACAAGCTAACCTGAAACTAACCTAAAGCTAACACGGAGGTGGGAGCTAAGCTAACAGAGGTAGCAACCTAGCTACAACCGGAGTTAACTGTGCACAACACCGGAGCTTCTGAGTCGGAGATATGCCGGGCTGACCGCTGGGTAAAACCGGGTGGAACACAGAGGTCTCTGAGACCTCCACAAGCTGGCAGCCGCACAGCAGACAAGCGCCGCTGCGATCAGACAGAGATGCGCCGAGCTGCGGGGAGGGGAGAACCGGGTGGAAAACATCGGTCTCCCGAGAGCTCCACAAGCCGATAGTGGGAACCCAGCTCCACCAACATGTTAATTTCAACCCATTTTCTAAAGTGCAGCATTATGTTAAATGCACTGGGTTTTACCCTATTACATTTAAATTTCATGGTTAAACAGTACATGTTAAAATCTAAGCTCAGCTCGGCAGTGACCTAAAATACATAAATGTAATTTTACTTACCAAAATAAAATGAATTGGGAGACTCCTTGGACGCTCTATTAGTGCAAATAATGCCACAGCAAGTCATTTTGTCCAACAATTGCACAAAAAATATCCAAACAGAATACACACACACAGAGACTCAAAATCCCAGAACAGTTTCCAGGCCAGACCGAGGCTCTACTGAGGCCTTTCCACGGAGCTAGCTCTGTGGTCACGTGGGTCTGATGCTCATTAATTATACAGAATTTTAGGCTTTTAATACACTTAAACAGAAGAGTGAGAAAAAAATTCACCCCCCTCAGAGTTGTCATGAGTGTAAACTAGATCATTTAAACCAAAAACATGTTTATTTCTGCTGTGAAATGTGTATTTTTAACATGGGAGTCAATAAGGATTTGCTCGCTTCTGACACCAGCCCCTAGTGGATGAGGGCGGAACTGCAATTTTTGGTACTTCCGAGTTGGCCTCAATTTTTGAGCCGCATTGTGGGGGCTTGGGTCTGATGGAGGAGTTAAAAGCAGACCTCACTTCCTGTTTGGAGGAGATCCAGTAAGTCATGTCTGGTTAAACCCTGTCGGAGCTCAGTGACCAACCCACCGTTCTGTTAGTCCTGCTGAGTGACCCGCTCATGACCTGGAGACCACAGTGGCATTGAGCTGAAGCCACAGAGGAAGCTGGGGGGGTTCATCTCTGAATAGGAGCTCCCTGCCAACCTGCCATCCGCTGACAGTCAGCAGCAGCTGAGTTTCTACTGCAGCCGTGCGTTTGCCCAGAGAGTCGCTGTGAATGGAGACAAAGAGCAGGGTGCCCACACGGCTCCACTCAGAAAGCTGGTTTGGCGCGGAGCTCCAGCTGGCAGCGTCCTCAAACAGAGAGAGCAGTGATCGCCGCTAAAACGTCTCTGGCCCCGCCGCAGTCAACAGGGATAGAGACGGGTAGCCAAGGGGAGGCGGGGGTGGGTCACTAACCGACAGGGACTAGTCAGCCAAATCAGGGCTTCATTACACCAAACAGAGGAGCGTTTCATGAGTAGAGGTCATGAGGTCATGGTGGTGAGATGTTTTCTAAGGAACAGATCTGCAGAGATTAAACACTTGGTGATGGAAGCTTTCCATCTGATGGGATTACCCCACTTCTTCACACTTTGTGGCGTCTCTAACTGAAGCTGTTTGGTCTTCTTGCAGGTTCCCCAGAGGGTGGACCCTCATCGGGAGCTGGGAGGAACCCAGGGCTCGTGGGGGGCCTGGGGAGTCTGGTCTTCCTGTTCCCGGACCTGTGGCAAAGGGGTACAAGAGCAGACCAGACCCTGTCTGCCATACACGCAACACCCCTCAAGAGGAGCCGGTGTTCAGCACCAGCAGCTGGGCGGAGCCTTTTCTGCTACTCCAGACCACCACAGAACCAGAACCTCCAACAGCAGCAGGGGAGGAGAACCCCTGGGCGTGAAGCAGACTGCACCCGGAGAACGCAGGTAGGCAGAGGGCAAAGGTGACTTATGGAGGTGTAGGAAGAGAGAGAAACAATGCTGACTCTTCTTGGTTTCTTTTGTTTTGTCTTTTACTCGGATCCTTGAATCGGGCCGCACAGTTTTCAGAATTTGTTCTTTCTAAATCATAAACAGAAGAATTCTTTAAGCGTTTGGCTGAGCATCAGGCAGGGTTTGGACTGAGCGACTGCACAGTGGTGAGGTGGTTAGAGCTGTTGACTTGAAGGTCCTGGGTCTGCATCCCGGCCTGGGGTCTTTCTGCATGGAGTTCGCATGTTCTTCCTGTGCATGCGTGGGTTCTTTCCGGGTTCTCCGGCTTCCTCCCACAGTCCAAAAACACGACTGTCAGATTAATTGGTCTGTCTAAATTGTCCCTAGGTGTGTGTGTGTGCATGATTGTTTGTCCTGTGTGTCTCTGTGTTGCCCTGAGATGGACTGGCAATCCGTCCAGCGAGTACCCCGCATGCTTGCCTGTTGACCGCTGTAGATAGGCACCAGCCCCCCCCCCCCCCCCCCCCCCCCCCCCCCCACGACCCTGCATGGATAAGCGGGTTCAGAAAATGGATGGACGCATTGGACATAGTTAATTCCACTTATTAGCTTTACTCTGGAAAATAATTAGAATTTCAGTCATTCGTGTGTTTGTCTCTAAAAATGCGATTCGACTGAGGGGGAAATTCGGCCCGCCAAAAGTGAAGCAAAAAAACTGTAGTTCACCCCTCGACCACTAGGGGCAGGATCCGGAAAGTTCCCATTGACTCCCATGTTAAAAATTCCAACTTCACAGCAGAAATAAACACGTTTACAGCCTGTTTCAAAAACATTTAGGTTTAAAAGATCTACTTAACCGTCATGACATTTCTGAGAGGGCTGGATTTTTCTACCGCTCATCTGTTTAGATGTAATTAGAGCTTGACATTATGAATACTTAGGGGCGTGTCCTTTTTATTGACAGGTTGCAGATGAGCCACCAACACTAGCTGCTCGCCACACTGCTTGCCTCAGGGAACTGCTACAGCCTAGACAGCAGAGGGTAGAGTCACTCAACTGAGGTTTTCTGGCTAAAAGCGCCAGGGGCGTGTCCAGGGAGTGGCCTGGGGTAGCACATGCCACCCTTAGAATCTGATTGGCCACCCCCAGGTGCCACCCTACTAAGTTCCAGTTTAAATTGACTTTACGTTGTTGACAAAAGGCTTGGGTTGTTAACTCCAAAATAGTGTGTGTTTGCATGCACCTTTCACCATGTTTTCCAGCCCAGGCATGTAGTATTATTTAATATTTTTTCATATTCACATAAATAGTATTTAGAGTCCCACTCAACTCCAGTTGGTGGCAGCCGTGCAACAAGAAGTGACTTGCTAACCACCACAAAAGTAGAAGACGAAGAGGAAAAAAAAAGGTGATTGTGCAATGTGAAACTCAAAAATTCACTAGAAAGTAAATAAATAAACGATTTGTGTAAATAAATAAATAAATAAGCATAACCATTGGTGCCACCCATGAAAAAACAAGTGCCCCACATGGGCCACCCCATTTTAAAAGTCCTGGGCACGGCTCTGAAAAAGCGCCCACCAACTACCGTTAGCTTAGTTAGCTCGTAGCTACATTGGCTCAGAGTTTCATGGCTGCTCTTCTGCCCCCACCCTCACAGCACCGCTCTCAGCTCCATTTCTGTATTTTCCGGGAGTGACGAGGCGCATGACGCAGCCAAGATGGTGGTGGTTCAGCTCTTCAGAAACCTACAGTGGCGGCACGGAGGGTTCGTCCATTTGTCAGTTAGTGGATTCAATGATCATTACGACACAAAGAAATCATTTAAATCAGTTTGATTCGATTCTGTTCAGTAAACCAATAAACCGATCGACCAGCTTGGCTCTGCTTCTGTGGCGAAAGGGCCAAATCAAACGTCATCTAAGAAAAGTTCCGTTTTAAATGTTACGCGTAGCTTTTGAGTTTTACACACAGTCTCAGGAACGTTTATTCTTCTCCCCGTTCCTTTGTGGAGATCTGTGCTGCATGCTGAGCAGCCTGGTGTAAAAGTGAATCCGGATCTGTCACCATGGGCCGTCAGGCTGCCTCCGCTCAAAGGACAGCCTTTCATAGCTGGAGTCAAAAGCTCAGCCAGTGTTTGGCAGCTTTGTGACCTACTTCCTGTTGCGCTCGCCTTTAAACAAACAACGCTGACAACTGAGCATTGAGGGGTTTGTTTGAGATGGACTCAAAGCTCCCAGATTTCCATAATTAAATGAGCTCCTTTGAGCTCAAACTTATCTAATAATTAAATAAAAAGCAAACAAAATTTAAATTTTCTGTAGAAACCATCAAAGGTGCAAACACAGCTACTGAATAATGTTCAAACATCACATTTTGCAAGAAGAGCTACAGAAATGTTAAAGCGGCTGTCAGTGGCTTACATGGGGTTACCATGGTAACCGCAATTAAAAATAATACCAAAGTCCAGCTTCCGGTCGCCAGTACAGATTCACGATGTCTCTAAAGAGGCGTGTTGTCTAAATCTTTTAACTGTCTGTGCCATTAGGAGGGTCACTCTCATCACTCCTGGGAAGTATGGCTACGGGCGAGCTCCGTACGTTGCTCCGTTACAGAAGGAACCAGGTCGTGGTTCTGGAACGTCCCACCTCTACAGGCAGAGACGCGCCCCCGCAGCAAACAGAGGGAACAGCGGTTTCAGACCAAACAACATGCAACGCCTCAACCGACCCTACGTCCAGCCCAGGACACAACGTCCAAAACACCACCAGGTCTGGGCCCCACTCTACCAGCCGACGTCACCAAACCGGGCTGAGGTTCAGCAGGAGCTGTATCCAGGTGGTCGCACCGCCGGCCATCAGCAAAGAGAGAGGCCGTACAACCCGCTGCCTTCTTCCTCCTGCCCCGGGGAGCGCGCTCAGTACAGGATCTGCAACAGTGATGTCAGCAACTCTCTTCTTCTCCCCTCTCCAGCATCGTTCTTTACTGGCTTTATGGGGGCCAGTGCTTCTTTTTATTTGTTTACCTGATCAGTTTGTTCTGTACAATAAAATTGACACTCCCTGTGGTGATGCCACAGATAGTGGGTTTGTTCAGCCTTCAGGGAGGTCAGGTTCCACAGGAGAACCTTCACATCTAACGCCTTTGTTCACCATAAAGTAAACCCTGACGGATAGATCTTTAGGTTTGTCTGTTCAGAGAAACTAAAACCATGTTTGTGTTTCTTTGGTCCACCCACAGGCCTGTCCTCCACCCAGCAAACCCATCAGAGCAGTCCAGTGCTCTTATTACAACAACCAGCCTTTCATGGGCAGACTGTACCAGTGGGAACCTTTTAACGAAGGTAGGAGCGATGTTTATATACGGTCCACAACGTGTAGGGTATCATCTTGTTTCAGGTCCCAATGTGCCCCAACCATCAGCCCTCCACCACCATGCGACAGGTGGGGTTTGGTTTTCACCAAATGTGCTGCTGTGCATTGTGGGTAAAGATCTCCACGTTGGAACATTCTCTTGTTGTTGGTTGAATAAAATCTAACCAACCTGAACTGAGTGTCCATCTTGTTTTAGAGAAAAGGTTCTTTCCTGAAACCCTCCAAACGAGCCAAATCAGTTTTTTTTCATCGTCTCGTCACGACCTTTAACCTTTAAACTGCAACTTTTAAAATGTTCCTGCTACCTTTTTTGGTTTCTAAGAGTGTTTCCTGATCTGATCTGGGGCAAATTTTCTGGGAGGTTAAAGACCAAGTTCACTGAGAACAATTTTTTACTAGTTATTTTTGAAAAATGAGTTTAAAGATGTGGACCTCTGGTTTAATCAATACATTTGCAGTGGTCTCTAGTAGAAATGAATGTCTTGTCATACTCTGAGGAGAAAAAAAGCTCCGATGCGCCTGTTTTAGGAAGTACAAGTCAGCTGGAGGAGAAAGTAGCTTCAGACGACCTGATTGGGAGTCTTATTTCCTAATATTTGGACATCTCTCCTCTGGTTGGCTAACAGCCGTGCAACTCTACCACAGACTGTTTGCTCTGCAACATTGTTTTATCCAAATAAAACACAAGCCTGGAGGAGTTATGCTTTGTGGTGGAGTTGCTAATGCTAACAGTTAGCTTCTACTGGTCGAGACGTGTTCTGCTGTTTCCTGGACGCCACCTACCTGTAGATCCTCCACCAGGGGGCAGTAGACACATATAGGGCTGGAAATTGCAGGTTTGTGATGAAGGTACTAATCCTGATGCTCCATCTGGAGCATTTAAGACCAGAAGTGGTTTGATGTGAGTTTGTGACGGAGCTAAAACCAACTTTGTCCAGCGATGACGTGTCATGAATGTTAACTCTTTCGCTGCCAGCGTTTCTCACCATTTTTACTGTTTTTTTTAAGAGTGACAGAACGTTGCGCACTAGGATGATGTCGACGCCAAATCAACCAATTCAAAGCAGAGATTCGCCTCTTACATCAGGAAGAATCCGCGCGTTTCGAGCGTTATCCGTTCTTACATAATCCGTTGTTGAATTGTGATCGGCCGAAGCTTTTCCTGTTTGCGCCTCACTTTTTTTACAGCAGCGGCCCAAAACGATCTCCTAACACATGGATGTTCTGCTTCCTGATCACGTGACGTGTGACGTACGTGGATGAAGATCAGCTTTAGAGCTGAGATGTTTGCTCTCATGGTGCGGGGGCTCGTTCCGATGCCCATAATTGGCAGTGAATGAGTTAAGTGACAGTGTGACGTAGATCTGTCATGCTTTTCTTATCCTAGAGTTTCACCGTCTGTTTTCTATCAGAAGCTGCCGATATGGGTAAATGCTCGGATTTCAAAAAACCAGTCAGATCTTCGCCACAATGTAAATTAGCGTTCATGGACTCTTGGACATCTTGGCTCATGACGGGGAAGGCTGTTGTTGTTTTAGCGTCCAGGAAACAGCAGAAGACGTCTAGGACAGTAGACACTAACAGGTTTGCATCAGCAACAGCCTTTGCTGAATTCATTTGTCTTTACGTTAAAGAGCAAGTCACCCCCAAATCAACTTTTTTTCTGATAAACTATATAAATGCGTGTCTAATCGTGCTGCAGACACATGTCGTCAATAGTTCTGCACTTTACTGCACTTTAGTTAAAATGTTCATTTTCTACCTAAAACTGTCAGTGTTGTTCCGTTGTCAGGTAAAAACTCTGCACTGCATTTGAATTTAAATCTGCCATCGCTATCGGCTAAGAGGTACCCTAGAATGTTAGCTGGTACCATATGATGTCACAATGTCGTTGTGAGCCTGTGTGTGTGTATATTTGTTAGCGGCTCCGCCCTCTCGGTTTGCTAGGCAACAGCATTCGTTGCATTTTTCAAACAGGAAGTGGGAGTGGAGTAATACTCTGGTAGGGGGTGACTTGCTCTTTAACACACGCCTGCATGCTCTGAAGCAGCAAACTCCAGCTTCATAAAGGAGAACCTAGTAATAATGCTCTATATTGTGTTCTGGTATGACCCTTGCTAGAATGAGCCATATACGCAAAGTGAGTTAGTGAATGATGGTGGAAAGACAAACCAAAACTTCAAGTCTGCTAGAGCGAGAAGTAAGAGAAGACTCCGATTTAAGAAACGGGGCCAAACTTGTTCTTCTCTGAAAAAAGGAGGAAGCAACTATTTAGCCATGAAAATGAACAAGATGTTATTTTCACAGTTAAGCACATTCTCATCTGTGTGATCCATGACCCGTTCTGAGGACAAAACTGTTTGACCTGACACACCTGCGGTTTCCAGGCAACGGTCAAAACTCCTGACGATCCGGTGCGTCTAATGGACAAAACAGTCTCCAAATTAACATCCTGTCAAAGAGGTTTGTTTGAGAATTGTCAGTGAGAGCTGCTCTTAGACCCACAGACAAATGATTTAAACATGAAATCAGTCCGAGGCCAAATCAGGGTCATTGTCTGTTCTTGGATCTGGACTCATGGGGGATCTAGGGCTCGACGTCCTCTGGCGGGCCCCGTGGTCACTGGCCAGCGCCGTGGAGCTCCACTGGCATTTACCAGACAGTGTAGCTCTAGCGCCCGGTGCTTTTCACAGATGAGGGCAGCTTCACTCTGGAAGGGGCTGGAGAAGCACAGCCTCCACTAACAAACATGCAAACCACGAGAACCAATTTCAAGATTTGGGCTAATTGGATCGCCGCGATGCATCTGCTGCATTACTTGGTGACTTAACTTTAGCAGGTTGATCTTTTTATTTCCATCAAATGACGCAACATCCTTTTGTTCCAAACGTGTTACCCACTCCTCATCAGGATGTACGTCCGGGTTTCTGAGATCTGATGTGTTTCCGTGTGTGTCTCTTCACAAAGACGGAGAGGATCTGAGGTTCTCATTCGTGAATCCATCTTGCAGCGCTGCATTATTTAAAACCCTCAGCTGACCGGCTGATATGTATGTTTTATAAACTCTGTGAGGACGTGTCCTTCTGTCCTTTCAGTGCCAGAGGAGCAGCATTGTGAACTGAACTGCCGGGCTGAGGGCTTCAGGTTCTACGTGCGACACTCAGACCGGGTCATCGACGGGACGCCGTGTGGACAGAACCAAACGTTTCTCTGTGTGGCGGGAAAGTGTGCGGTAGGTCATGAATGTGAGAAATAAGACTCACCGTTTTCCTTTAAGTACTAAAACGTTGTGTTTATGTTGGGCCTGCTGGTGGATGGACTCATGTTTGTGGTGTTGTCAGTAAAAAGCAGACTTATTTGTTTTGTTGCTTTGGGTATGACCTCATTGTTGAATCGCTGCTTGTTTATTTGGTTCTATTTATTGAAAACTAGCAGCTTTAATTCAACAGACTTAATTTTTAGAGAGTCAGCAGTGATGACTGTGACCAGTAGAGGGCAGCGCAGGATTAGATGTCCTCTGAAGGTCAGCGTTGTCCTACTTATGACCTGGATCAGGGCTTTATTCTGAGGGAAGAGCCCCCACCCCTCCTGCCCTCCATTAGAATAACAAAAAACAAACTGTACAAACATAATCTAATGATTTTGATGAGCTGCTGATGTTCTCAGCTGGAGATATGGGTTTGCGTTTCCACACTGGAACGGGCGTTGAGCTCTCTGATGAATCCATGTGGAAGGAACATCACAACCCAACAGGAGAGATGTTTCAGTGAAAGCTTTCCTGCTCAAAGCAGATAGTTTTAACTAAGGGTGGAAACTGATAAGTTTTTATCAACATCAGTGGTATTGTCGATTCCATCTATCGACCCAATTCCTCATCAGTTCCCTTATCTACTCTGTGGTAGTTAAACATGTGGCAAAAACTAACTGCACGGCTCCTGCAATAGAGCTCCGGACGTCACGTGACTCTCAGAGAGTAGACGCCATGTTGGCAGGCAACAAAGGTAAACAAAATGAACGGGATCGGCTTGGATTTTACTTCGTCAGAGTCCACTTCACACTTTAAAACCGAAGAAATTGTTTTATATAGTCAAAAATTAAATAGACTAAACATCTCCGACCCTTACCGTGCCCCTGGGATACTTTTTTAAAACGCCAGAAGCTGTCGGAGCGGACTTCTTACCGGACCTGACCAGGGAACGCCTTGGGATTCCCTCGGAGGAGCTGGCCCAAGTGGCTGGGGAGAGGGAAGTCTGGGCCTCTCGACTTAGGCTACTGCCCCCGCGACCCAACTCTGGCTAAGCGGATGAAAATGGATGGATGGATAGACAAATAACAGGTTTACACATAAGTAGTTTAACTAGAGTGCTGAGCTCCGGGAGTTGACGTCACTTCTCCCGGCATGCAACAGTTCAAATCGAAACGGCGCCATATTGGCAGGCAGAAGCCCGCAGCTGGACTTTTTGTTATTGTCAGAAAACTCAATCAGACAGGAAATACGGTAGATTCCTGTTGTGCCCCAGGATGCAGAACAGACGTGGAAGACATAAGGAATGAGCCTTCTACAGGATTCCCCAAGATCCGGAGCGCTGCAAACGTTGGATCATTGTAATAAAACGCGCTAGTGACCGGGCTAAAATGAAAATGTGGGACCCGAGAGTAAAGGATTTCGCTTATGCAGCGACCGCTTCATATCAGGTACTTAAACCAACGTTTCCTCAACTGTGTATGGTATTTAGTTTAAATGCTTTTATTACGATTCTTAGTGGGCTTCCTAAACTTATTCTGGCGTGGCTTTTTCTGTCTTATTACTCATAGCAACAAGTAAACATCACGTAAAACGTTGCCTCGTGAGTTCTGCGTGCTGCCGTTTACGTGTTTTATGATCACAGCAATTAACCGGCTAAGCTGTATTTCATTTTTAATTAATGGTTGATCAATTGTCAGATCACACATAAAAAGCACTTTGGATTGCTATTATCTGTCTCACCGAGGCAGATCTCAGACAGATCCTGAGACGCTCCTGCCTGACATATTTATTTTATTCACGGAAAAAAATCAAACTAGTGATTTCTCTTGGCGTTCAGTTTATACATTCAAACAGCACACCACTCCATTTAAACTACTTACATGTAAATCTGTTATTTGTCCATCCATCCATCCATTTTCATCTGCTTATCTGGAGTTGGGTCGCGGGGGCATGTAGCGTCGAGAGGCCCAGACATCCCTCACCCCAGCCACTTGGGCCAGCTCCTCCGGGGAATCAGTTTCTCCTCCGGGGAAACTCCTCCCAAGGCGTTCCCCGGCCAGGTTCGATAAGAAGTCCGCTCCGACAGCTTCTGGCGTTTTTAAAAAGTATCCCAGTGGCACGGTAAGGGTCGGAGATGTTTAGTCTATTTAATTTCTGACTATATAAAACGATTTCTTCGGTTTTAAAGTGTGAAGTAAACTCCGACAAAGTAAAATCCTAGCCGATCCCGTTCATGTTCACGTTTACGATCCGTGTTTGTTTACCTTTTTTTCCTGCCAATATGGCGTCTACTAACTGAGAGTCACGTGGGGTCCAGAGCTCTATAGTACTCGGTTGGTACCTTAAAAAGTACCAAATTTGGTACCCATCGCTACTCTAAACAGCTACCGCGTATCAAGATGGCACGTGGCTACGGAGGTTCGACTATAGTTTACATGAATGAAAATGTAAAATTCGAGCTAACATTTAGAATTGACGTTGGTAAGAATTATTAATAAAAAAGGACACATTTGATAACAGATACACAGAATTTGATAGTGAACAAGTAAGAGTATTACACACTGTTCCTTTAAACCTGCATGGTAGGAGGGATTGTCGGCCACTCGTGAAGTTTCTACGGCGTTTTGTGTTGGAGGTGTGATGAGGTAATCACACTTCTCCATCTGTGAAGAGACCTCTGAGACTAAAGTCTGCTGGAGCGTCAGCGCGCTCTTGCTTTGCCTTTTAGGGAGACTTAAGAGAAAAGGTTAAAGTCGACAGAAATTCTCATTCTGTGTTTTTATTGTGTTTCTAGTATGTTGAAGTTTCCAAAGGGCTCAACGTTTTAATTTAATCACCATGGTTACTAAAATGGCACCAAAAGTTTCGATTATTCATTAAATATCAGAAGAGTTTTGTATCAGAAATTTTAATCCCATTCTACTAACCTGACATGTTCTCTATAATCTGAGATTATTATGATTATTGCTTCCCTTGCTTTGTTTATTTGTGTTCCATCATATACATTTTTCTGTTCTCCCTTCAAAATAAAAGCCTCTACAATCCTGTACGTAGACATTATGTTAAAACGGTGAAATGTGCAAAGAGTCTCTTAAATTTGAAACATCTTGGATGAAAGCCAAATCAGGCAAATCTTTCCTACCAGTTATTCCAGCAAGCAGGTCGGAGCGTGTCCGCACGCTGCAGAGAGAATCTACTGTGCATTTTAAAAGGGACCTTATAGATTTTTCCACAACAGTAGAAATGTTCCCAGATTAAAATAATAGTAAAAAAAATTAAACTGTCTTGTTAACTAAATTAAATGCTTAAAGTTTTCACAGTTAGCAAAATACCACTATCTGCTTCACAGTTAGTCTCAATCTCTGCAAGACTGATTTAAAAATAATAAATACTAAAATGATAGATATAGATTATATTTATATATATTATAGATATAAATTATAGACAGGAAGTTTGTACCATTCATTAAACAGCAATTTTATTTTTGAGAAGAATTTTTTTATTTTTTATTTTGCAAAACCTAAAAACAAGCTTCAAGAAACTAAATATTAAAACATGCTTAGAGACATAAATGAACATTTATAATACTGATGAATGGTAATATATAAAAATAAATGCAGATTACAGCCAGGTGTGGATAACAGTTACAGATTAAAGAGGAGCTAAACAAGTAAAACTGGCATAAATGTGTAGAAACTTTTCAATTTGAGAGTAAAATTAAGAATTAACAGAAGGCCTAACTGAAATGAGAAGAAACAGCGTTTCAAAACAAAGCAAAACCCAAACATGCTCCCTAATCTGTGGTTAAATTCACACAGATTATACATTTTGCATCATTCAATCTATCAAACTTTATTTACAAAGCTGTTTCATCACCAATGAGGTAACACAAAGTGCTAGAGGATTTAAAACGGTCATAATGATATGGAAGGTAAACGAGAAAACAAAATAGAGCAATGATAGAGAAGACCAGCAGGACTACCAATCACAGTGCAAAGCTAGTGAGCACAAATAGGTCTTCAGGCAGCTTTAAAAGATCTGCACTGATGTGTATTGGGATTGGAATTATAATCTGTATAAAGGGAAAATAAAGTGTGTTCCTGTGTGTAAGTTTTATGTCCAGTTTCCATCTAACCTGTTAATAGCTTCCTGAACAGCCTCAGTTTGGAGAATAGAACTCAGAGTGATGAGCTAACGGCTAGGCTGAGTGCAACCGAGACCAAAGTGGATTGTTGCCTCCTTAAAATGACTCAAAGTCTCCTAAAGGTTGGTTTATGCTTGACGCGTCCGCGAGGTCCGCACGGCTCCGCGCAGCGAAATTGTGTCATTTTAACAACCACGCCCCTCCACCGCGCCTGCACACGGCCCAAAATTTCCGCACCGCGCACCAAGGAAAATTTCTAACCACGCGGACGGTCGGACGCGGAAAAACATGGCGGACTGGCAAGAACTAGTATGGCAGAGGTTCGTAAATACAGACATTTGTATGATTCAGCTCTCAGAGATCACCGTGATCAACATGTTGTTAATAATTCTTGGAGAGAAATAGCTCGCACTGTCGGAAAAGACGAGGACGCTGTTAAAAATGCTGGAATACCATGTTGTAAACAATGTTTACTTCTACTATGGTGTAGTGTTGGATGCATGCCGTAGAGCTCCATGCTGCCCCCTACAGTTTGGGAGAATATTGGCTCACCGCAGAGACAAGCCGCGTGAACCATAAACACTACGAGTTGTGAAGCGCGTTCCGTCCGCGAGCCGCATCACCAAGCGGAAAGTGAATGCGTCAAGCATAAACCAAGCTTTACTCCATCTTTCCACCGGAAGTGTGAGCGTAACAGATGTGTCTTTCCTGCAAGCTCAGCAACGCATCCCCTCCCACTGGGAGACCAATGTAGCAGGAAAGCGTTCCACACAGCGGGTACGAGGTCACGAAATCATCGGAAAATAGCAAGATCACTCATCAGTTTGGCACTTTAAATGAT